GTTGAGGCCAGCATTGCCTCTGACAGAGGGCCGGGCCGTTACGCCCCAGCCGCCGATGCGTGCCGTTTCGACCTTCAACCTTCTCACAGTTGATTCGAAAATACCTGGGTCCAGAGGTTTGATCTTCATCATCGTCGCTGTCTTGGCATATGTTTCCACCGGGGCCACGTTAATAAAGTTAGATAGCGGAATTTCTGCTCGTTGAATTTTTTCATCCGACAAATTCGAAAGGTTAGGAGTTCTCAACTCGGACACAGTAACCGTAAAGAATTGCCTCACTGGTCGAAAGAATTTTTTTTTGTAATTCTGGTTTATCTTAAGAAAACTGCTTCTCATATACAAGAGAAGGGAAAAATGGAGGACCAAAGGGGAAGAAAGATAAGGGGCATGAGATAAGGATTGAAGATTGCACGCTTTATGTAGACGGAGGAACGACGTTTCGAAAAGCGGAAAAGACGCCTCGAAATGGGCAGTACGTTCCATTATTCCAACTGTCAGCGGTTTCAAAAATTCAAAAAATTTATTATGCACCAACTCGGCGAATAATATGCGACGTTTGTATGTCGCATTTTTGTATGTCCAGAATAGAGAATAGAAAATTTAAAAAAAAAAAATTCGAGTAGAAGTGCGAAGCGGGTATGCGAGCAATATGCGGAAATTCGAATAACTGAAAGATGAAAGGAAAAAAAATAGAACTTTCGAGTAGAAGTGCGAAGCGGGTATGCGAGCAATATGCGGCAAATTTGCATACCCCCTCGCATAACTGAAAGATGAAATAAATAAATAAAAAAAAAGTAAACTTTCGAGTAGAAGTGCAAATGGAGTATGCGAGCAATATATGGAAATTTGCATAACTGAATGATGAAAGAAAATAACAAATAAATTTTCTTGTAGAAATGCGAAGGGGGTATGCGAAATCACATACCCCCCTCGCATACACCCCTAAAATGACCCTAAACCCTAAACCCTAAACCAACACTTGATTTTATATCTTATGATATAATAGTCTATTATTTAAATTACCGTTCATAATGTATAAAATGGCCATTATTATATTTTTTAATAAGTGGCTTTCTTCTATTGTCAATCAATTTCACATTAAAAACAATACTTATCTACATACCTTAACTCATAATCCACATTTTATCTAAGATTGAGCTTGAACATTATTATTTTTAATAAGTGGTTTTCTTCAATTGTCACTTTCAAACATAATCACATTAAACAATACTTATCTACATACCTTAACTCATAATCCACATTTTATCTAAGATGGAGCTTGAACATTATTATATTTTTTAATAAGTGGTTTTCTTCTATTGTCACTTTCAAACATAATCACATTAAACAATACTTATCTACATACCTTAACTCATAATCTACATTTTATCTAAGATTGAGCTTGAACCGTAATTTCATTTCACTGCTCTAGTAATTCATTGGGTGGGATTTTTTCCCTCCTTAATTTCAGGTATGCGAAAGATATGCGATTAATCGCACATTGTTCGCCGTGCTGCAAAATAAAGGTTGGCAGGTTGCGTCTTTTCGTCTCGCAAAATGACAGTTGTTTTATGGAAAAAGGTCGTCTCTTCTCCGAAATGACGTCCCCTCAGTCTTCAGCGCATTAAAAACAATTAATTATATTTTACGTATGTTTTTTTAACAAGATATGTGAAATCAAATGCAATTGATTTTCAATACGTTATGCGAATGAAGTGCGATTCATCGCATTTTGTTCGCAGTTCTGCGAATTTGAAGAGTCGCCTCTTCTCCGAAACGTCCCCTCAGTCTTCGGCGCATAATAACGGCGCGCATATCAAGGAGGATAGAAATTTTCTTGAGTATATCTTCTTTAACCAGATATGCGAAATCATTTATTGTCAATACGTTATGCGAATGAAGTGCGATTCATCGCATTTTGTTCGCAGTTCTGCGAATTTGAAGAGTCGCTCCGAATTGTCCCCTCAAGTCTTTGGCAAATTAATAACAGCGCGCGTATCATGGAGGATAGATATCTTCTTAATTAACCAGATATGCGAAATCATTTATTGTCATAAAGTTATGCGAATGAAGTCCGATTCATCGCATTTTGTTCGCAGTTCCGAGAATTTGAAGAGTCGCTCCGAAACGTCTTCTCAGTCTTTGGCAAATTAATAATGTTTCGCGTATCAAGGAGGATATCTTCTTGAGTCTTCTATAAAAGGTAGCTGAGATGACACAATTGAATTAGGATCACGACCATTTTCTCAACATTCTTCAACTCTCGCTTTCCTCAACATGCCGGTCAATGAAGTATCTTCATTGTACGGACATGTTGAGAAAAATCGAAGGTTGAAGAATTGAGAGATGGGTCCTGATCCTCCTTTTGTCTTTGATGGTGCGCTCCCTGTCACTGTCGTAGCCTCCTCAATCTAGTATATCTCAGAAGTCCAAGCACTCTCCCTACAGATCCCACACCTTCCAGGCACATGGTCGTCTCACATTATAAGCTAAAAAAAATTGGAGGCTGAAAAAGCTGTAGGTGACCATGTGTTTGGGAAAGCGTGGAATCTCCGGTGAATTGCTTGGTCTTCCGGGGTTTACTAGATTGAGGCGCCTATGACGGCGAAAGGGAGCACCCCTTCAAAGACAAAGGTGCTTTTTCTTCCTGGGTATACTAGATTGAGACTTGCAAATGTTTATCGAAAGCCAAACATGGGTTGGCGAACACGTTCATCTCGCGGACCAACTTGTTTAGCCCCCCATGTTCCTCCAACTTCGGCACAGTCATCCAATTGGTTTAGATCTTTCAAGCTGTTCTTCAACTCGTTGTTGTAGCCTCCTTTATCTAGTAATTTGTGTGACGTTGTAAGGTTACGTGTAAACTACTTCAGTCGATGTAAAGCAGTTGAGTCCATGTAAAATTGCGACGTACATGCGTCGCATATTATTCGCCTATAAAAAATTAGTTGATGTAAAGTAGTTAAGTCGATGCAAAATTACGACATATACGTCGCATATTATTCGCAGAATTGGTGCATTATTAATTTTTTAATTTATTTAAAGTTCTGCCTGTGATTTAATAATAAATTGAAGAAGACTACTATTAGGCGAAAGAACCTGCGATTATTACTCGAAACATTTCCGCATAAAAAACGCATAACTCGAACTATAACGAATAACATATATTTTTTTATATTTTTTTCTGTAAATTTTCTATTCCGCGACGTACAAAATTGTGACATACAAACATCCCATATTTTCCGAAGAGTTGGTAAATTTTGGAAAATTCTTGTTCTTTGACTAAATTAATAATGAATTGAAAAAAAAAACTATTAGGAGAAAAAAAAGCCGTGCGTAACACTTTTCGAAATGTGTTCGCATATTGATACATTTATGCGAGGTTTTATATGGATATGCGATCCGTAAATATGCGATAACAATACGCATAATCGATAGTTATCTACTATCTAGCCTTATAGATTTGGATATGTGAATCTTAAATTATGTGAACATATGCCGCATAATCCTAAATGATGCGTTTGATTGATCTGGCCTGGATATGCGATTAAAAACTATAAATTACTTCGCATTGTGTTCGCAGTTCTGCGAATAATAATTTCTCTTCTAGTATTGTCGCTGATTGCTGGCAAAACTCTGTTGACGGATATTAATGGTTTCATTGTCCATGTAACATATTGTTTTGTTTTGACATATGAATCATGATTAAACACATACTTGACAGAAGAAAAAAAAATTATTATTGCTGCAGTCAGTCCAACATATGTCTGCCTTCTGACGGCACCTTTTGTAAAACATTTGCCACGGAAGCAGATCGAGATCTTTTTCATAGGGTGAAATCCTTTCCATTTTTTTTTTTTGCTGCGATGGAAAGATAGGGTTCTGATAAGTGAAAGTCGCTCATTCAACAAAGAGAATGAAAGGTTAATAAATACAAATAGCACTTAAAGGCTAGGTAGAGATATACATCAACTTGACAACTAATGAGGAAGCATGCAAATCGCCAATGTTTTTTTAGGTGTAAAAGCAGACAATCAATCAATGCGGTGCGTAACTTATGCAAACAATATGCGAAGCATTTTCGATTTGGATATGTGGTGCAGACAATCAATTAATGCGGTGCGTAACATATGCGAATAATATGCGAAGCACTTTTGATTTTGATATGCGGTGCAGACAATCAATCAATGCGGTCTATATGGATATGCGAAAAAAATGGCGGATAGTCGTAAATTATGCGGCTTTCGATTTGGATATACGATTCGTTAATTATGCGGTTGAAGACTAGACGAATCATCCCAGTTGTGCGATTATTATGGGATATGATATGGGAATCGCACAATCAACCCAATTGTGCGATTATTATGGGACATGTTATGCGAATCGCACAATCAACCCAGTTTCACTAATTTTTGTTAGTCAATCGTGTGCAGGTTACAACTTAGGGCACCAACACAATATTTTCCCCGTTAAGAGTATTGTTTTCGTTAAATTGGTTTACAATTAAAAACTCCATCTTCATCTTAATTGTCATGGATTGGACGTGATGGACAAGATGACAATTTGTGACCTGTTTCTTTACATGTACGACATCTCCTCGGGCGTCTTGGATGAGGAGTTGGTGCGTTTTGACCTTCTTCATTTGAAAAAAAGTCATTATCACCATCGTATAGAGGGCACTCCGCGCTGTTATGCCCGGTGACCCCGCACCGTGAGCACATCTGCTGACGCCGTACTCGACGTGATGATCTTTCTCCAGCGGAATAACGTTGAGTCCGTGGCCGACCTGCTTGTTTGGGATCATTTGTCGGAATTACCTTTTTACGCATAATTTCCGAGGGCAAGTGCCATTCATCTGGATGCGGGACGGGGCTAACGGTGCTTTCGTACATCCTTGCAACTGAGTAGGTTTGTAATGGTCATTAACAAAATCTATTATATATAACCCGGCTTCCCTGTTACATATCGTAAATGCACATCATATTAGAATATAACAATTTTTTTTTTTTTTTAAAAAAAAAAAGAAAAAAGCGATAATTTTGTTTGGTAAACATTACCGAATAGCCGTAGATGCATGTAAGCAAGGTAGTAGATCTGTTTTAAACACACGACAATCACATGTTCTTGCCTCTAAATCTACCATGTAGGATCGTGTTTCTTCCATAACCCTATAACGTTGCATGCCGAGTGTGGTAATGGATAGTGTACGACCTTTCTCGAACAAAGGATCCAACCGCAATTGAGTCCACTGCGTTAGCGGATGATTGTGACCCTCGGCGGATGCACGCCGAACAGCAAACCATTTATCTATCGTTGCTCGAACACACTCCAACAACGAGAAAACGGGAAACATCCTGGCCCAACGGAGTTTGTTGTTCAAACTTTCGCATGAATTGGATGTCATGAATCCATAGCGACGTACAAGTGTAAAACACCTCGCCCAAGTATTTTCCGGAATTTCATTAGTTAGCTTTTTAAATGCTTCGAGTTTTAGGTTTTGGATGGATGACAAGTAACGATAGAAGTTTTCACGCCGATAACAATATGTTGCCTTGTAAAATATGCCCAAGACAGATTTCCCAAAAGGCCTCATTTGTTTTGTTATGTGATAACAACAAAATGAATGATGCGCCTCGGGGAACACTACTGGGACAGAATATATGATAGACTCATGTCTATCTGATACGATGAGGAGGTTATCAGGACAACCATAGGCCCTTTTCAATTGAGTCAAAAACCAACTCCAAGTCTCACGACGCTCTACATCACCAATGCCAACTGCGAGGGGAAGATTTGGTGATTCCCGTCCAATGTGACTGCAACAAACATAATGCCCTTGTATTTTTCCTTCAAGTTGGTACCATCTATCACAATTACCGGGACACCAACTCGTTGAAAGCCCTCAATGCTAGCTCCTATAGCAAAAAAACAAGTGTTGGAATACCTCGCCATCTCGTTGCAGTTCGTTGCAGTGTCGATTGTGCGTCAAACTCCCTTCGCATGTATGCTCGAGTTTCAAAGTAGTGATTCTCCATACATCTCGGTTTGCCCTTGCACATAACTTGTAAGAACACCCTTCATACCGACAAACAGATTTTAACCTAGAAATGCAGGATTTGGGTGTTCGACACTCAACTTTTTGTTGCAAGTGATACAGTTGAATGGCACAAATCAACTCTTCTTTCGAAAGAAAGACAGACCCCAAAGATAATTCTATATTGTTCGAGGATAAGTGGATGGGTTGTCTATCTGATCCAGTTGTCGTGGGCGGCATAGGAAGGGACCACATTCGTGGCTCAACGTCGGATTGCCGGGTGCTACCTCGATTCATATATGCAAGACTTTCAACCTCAATATGGTCGGTGATTAATCTTAACTCTTCAATATGCTCGCTATACCACGCTCTGAAAAGCTTGAACATTTGCTTCTCATGGACCTCTTTGTCTTCGTCGCCTGAGTCACCATTGTGTGTGTTGGTTTGGTCATCATTATTGTTATCGTCACGAGAATGATCTGGTTGGTTCGAACAACCCGCAGTTTGATCATCAGCGCCCCGAGGATATCCAGTATGTGTAAATGAACTAGGACCTGCTTGATGTGAATATGGGGCCTCGTGGGAAAATGCAGAACTATCAACACCAAAAGAACTTGGAAATACACCTTCGGACACCATCATTTGCGTGAAGCTTTGTTGCGCCGTCCCCGGAATCCCTACATTTACTCGCTTCTCCAACTCCACGTAAATGTTGGGAGTTTTTTGTTCTTCAATCAACTCTAAGATATCCTCACTGGATTCGATTTTCATCTTCACCTTTCGTTCCCTTCCATCAAATACTGCCCACAATATGTACTCAAAATTACAAGGATCGGCCTTCAATAATGCTTGAACACGAACGGCCGTAACTTATTCTCATCAGCTCTGCCACTCCACCAAGATATGAACCCCCAGAAAACGTACCACCATAGCTCACGCATACTCTAACACGGGTGCTAGCCATTCAAATAAGTGAACAACAAAAGGAATTAAAACGAAAGAAACAGAAAATTGCAGTAGAGAAGAATGGTGCAGACGTTGAATTGTTAGATATCACTGTTTTTTAGCCTCCATGATAAATG